ATCTCCCTGAGAGTTCCAACATTCACTCCTGCCAACTGCCTAAGAGCCCATCCCCCTCAGCCCTGGCAGCCTTGTCGTTTTGTTTCCAATCCAAGAAGCAAGAATTACATCTCAGTTTAATCTATATTTATTTGCTAATGAAGCTAAATTACTTATTATTATATATTAATTATAATTATTAATTATACATTTATTACATATTATTTCTGATAAGCCTTTGTATGGACTTACAAGTGTTCCTTGTATATCTTAGCAAATTTTACTCTGTAAAACATGTTAAAAACATTTCTTCCCCATGTGACTGGTCACTGAGCTCTGTTCTAGGGTGTCCTTTGTCAAATGGAAGACTTTAAATTTTATAGAATCACATCCTATCACTCTTCTTTCATGGGTTCTAGAATTTATAGCTTACTTACAGATCTCTCACCCAAGAAAATGAGTCTTCACTCTTCTAATACATTCTTAGATTCTTTTTCTACTTAGATCTTTTCTGCATATGGCATTTATTTTTGAGTACAGGGTGCAGTAGGGGTCAAACTTTATTGCCCACCATAGCCTAGGCCATGGCTAGGATCTAGCTAGAAGTCTAACACCAGGCTGGTGGAGTGGCTCAAGTGGTAGGACACAGGCTTACCAAGCATGAGGCCCTGAGTTCAAACCTCAGTGCCATCAAAAAAAAAAAGTAAAACACCCTTTTAACACTGTTTTGCTCCATATCAAGCTACGTCTACAACCTGAAAGAAAATGGAGGTCCACTGTTGGTGCTGGCCTGGCCTCATGCCCTGAACATTACAGCCTCCACTCCTAGGGGGAGACGAGGGGCGGAGGCCCTTCCTTCTCTTGTCCCTCATTTCCTACCACCTGTTCCAGCTGCTCACACATTAGCAGTGTTTCCTGGCTCTCTGCCTGTTAACCAACCACTATTTTAGTCATTTACTTGGGGTGTTAGGTTCCAATATTATGTGTTCAAGCCTCTTTCCTGAAGGGGTTTTGAATCAGTTTTCAAATAATTTCTAAAAGATGCATTATTTAAAATCCCCTCCTCAATGAGTCCAGCCCACAAATGATTTGTCAAGCTGCAGGCATTTCTGCCTCTGTTCTGACGACGACCCTCCCCAGCAGCTGTGGTCAGGTCTGTGCCTAGAGTCTCAGGTACACTTGCCACTGAGTAGACGGGATTTGTTTTTCTTAATACAGCAATGGGTGCTTTGTCCTGTCGCTGTCTATCAAGTAACACCAATAACTTGTCTCGTTCTTCCTAGAGAACTTGGGGGCGATGGGGGGCTCCTGCTTTATCGTTCAAACGAGCTTTACACCATTTAGGTGAATCTAAATTATGTCTTTTTTTTTTTTTTTTTTTGTCCTCAGCCTGTTAACCTGTCAGTCGTTAGTGGCAGGGATAATTTATTTTTCTTCTGCGGGAGTCTTAGAGCTTCCATTAACTAGATTTAGTAAAACAGGAATAGTCAATTTGTACACACATTTTAATTAATTTTAAATAGAAGCTTGAATGCACAATGTTCTACTTCTGTAAGCCTTAGGAGTCAGGGAGAGAGAGAGATAGCACATGGGTGTCTGTGTGACACCTGTTACAACCTCAAGTCAGGTTGGGGTTCACTTTGGAATGTCACAAGGAGCAGCCATTAGTTACCTTCCGGGTGTCCTTCACTGCTTTTATCATCTTATCTCAATTTTCTGATCGTTCCTAGAGACATTTTTGGGGAAGGCAGTACTGGGATTTGATCTCAGGGCCTCACACTTGCTAAGCAGGTGCTCTACCACTTGAGCCACGCCCCCAGCCCTTTTTGCATTGGTTGTGTTGTTCTTGAGATGGGATCTTGCTTTCATACCCGGTCCAGCCTGGACTACAATCTTCCCATTTGTGCCTCACCGTACAGCCAGGACGACAGGCATGCAGTGGCCTGCCCAGCCCCTGGTTGAGGTAGCTTCCAGCAATCCTCTCAGAGTCCACCTCTGAGCAGCTAGGAGTATAGGCTTGAGCCACTGCACCCAGCTATGGGAGATGGTTTTGTAAAGGAGAAATTGAGATTCCCAGAAGTTCAGTCATCTTGCAAAACGGTAAATGACAGGTTGAGTTTTGAACCCAGATCTTTCTGGCACCAAAACCCGGGCTCTTTCTTCTGCTGCTTTGTACTGTTTCTGTGTCCTGTCATAGAAAATAATGCAGGTTGCATGGCTGTTCCTCTCCAGTGTGGAAGAGTCTGAGCCCTACACATCTGCTCTGGTTTGAGTTATGTCTGAAAAGATCATTGACCCCAGAGGGAAGGTGCCGTCCCTGCAGAGAGCCCCGCCACCACTGGAGGGCACTCGTCTGTCTCTGCACTCTGCCCCAGGACAAACGCATTCCTTTTTTTGTGGCCCTGCTTCCCAGTCAACATCAGTCTTTTGCATTTTTGACCACACTCCCAGCAAGCATGCAGCAAACACTGAAAAATGGCTGCACTTAAAAATGTAGGGAACTCCTGACCTGACTATTTTCCTTTTTTTTTCCCTAAGTAATTTAAGTAGGTCACCTTTTAAATTTGATTTCCCAGGCACTCGATTTTGAATAAAACCCAATCTTACCTTCTAGACAATTCTATTTGGAGTTTATGCAGAAGAGAAAGAGTCTCACTATGTATAAAGAAAATAATCCTAGGTATATTTTATCAACTAATACAGGTGATAATTATTCGCTCCTTCTTTCTACCCTCCTCTACCTTTTGAGGGGAATAAGGTGACACCGGGGACCAGTAGTGATGAGTTGATGTGACTCCCCATCCTTGCTGCTCATGCAATATGTAACCATCGGATCAGGAGCAGCCCTTGGAAGCTCATCTGACTACACACTTCTCACTGTTGTCTTACTTCAGAGCACAAGGGTAGACAGGGCAAGACTGACGTGGGTTCTAGTCTTCCCAACCATCAATGTGTACTAGAATGACAAGTAGGTCTCCTCTTGAATGCCAGCTCCTCCTGCTTGCCCATCTCAGCCTGGGTGCCACATTGATGTGTTTGCAGGCACAGGAGGACACAATGTGCCATCATTGATGAATGACACCTGCCGAGGTACAGAAGGGAGAATAAAGTCCACTTGCCGCCCCTGATCTAGAGCTTAGCCTGAGTCCCATGGGGAACTTGGGTGAAACAAATTTACTTTGTCTTCAAGTCCCTCTCAAAACTTCAAGAAAGTCCCCAATTTCTCTCACCAATTCCCATTTGAACAGTCCCTAATTCGAATCTTGGGCCCCCCTGGTTCAAAGTTCTTCCCTCTGCCCTGTCTTAGGCAATGGGTACCTCTAGTAACAGGACAAAAGCCTCTGCTTAAACATCCTGAGGACAGGAACCACACTTCCTCCATTTAGTGCCTCCAGTACTCTCACAACTGCCCTCTGATAGAGCATTTTAGAGGAAAATAGCCCCTCGATCATCTGACAGCTGTTCAGATGCTTTATTCAAGGTCAGCTTATCATTAAGGTACACTTTCCCAGCAAAAGGTGTCATGTCTGCACTGTGAAGTCTGTTCCAGAAAATGTTCTCTATCTGTCTTTCATAAATAACCGCTTAGTGCTTGCCCCTAAGTCCTGGATATCCATTGAATATGAGGAACAAAGGAGAAATATTTACCCAACTGTACCAACACAGATGAACACGGTGCTGGTGGGAAGTCACCAATGCTTGATGTCATTGCTTACTACATCTTTGGGAACATAGACATTCACAGAGAGAAGATCATGACTAGTGAAGTAAATAGAAACTTGACAGCCAAAAGGATTAATTAGGCAGAGTGGGGCATGGGACTAGAAAGTGCTATGATTGGATATGCAGTCCCTTTATGGGATGGGGAGGTCACCTGGTGACTTGTGTGTGGACATATCCACGACAGTTTCTCAGAACCCATGCTCAAAATCATATACAATGCCAGGAGAAGTCACTGGAGCATCCACGTCAGTCATTTCTGAAGGTCATTCCTGAAGACTGGTGTCCCAGTCAGAGAGGGATTCCATTTGAGGCCAGATTAGAAGGTGGGATGGAAACATAGCTCTTTATAAACCAATACTGATGTAAGAGGCCCAGAACCTGGGACTGGGGCATGGCTCAAGTGGTAGAGCACTTGCCTAGCAAGCACAAGGCCTTCAGTTCAAAGCCCAGTTCTACCAAATTAAAAAAAAAAAAAAAGAAATGCAGAGCCTGAAGGAGACCCTGAAATCCCGGAGTTGGTGCGATTGAGGCCAAAGCTATAGACAGCCCCACCCCAGACAATTCCCACAGAAACTTCATCCCGTGAACAGATGCCAAGGGCTGAGACGTAGCCTGCCTGCTCACCCTGCCACTTCCTTTTGTTTCTTCATAGGCCAAGCTTAGTTCACTTGATCCTTTAGTACTCATGTTCCCCTGTGAGGTACACACACTCCGTGGTGTACGTAACCAACTACAGCAGGGATTGATCTGTGGGCTCAAATGTCTCCTCCCTTGCTATTTAATGAACATAAACTTGTCATGATGGGAGCCAGCTAACCTGAGGGTAAAATAATGAGCAAGCTGGATTCAGATCCCCACCACCAACAACAAGGGAGTCAATACAGCTCTGTGAGAGCCAGCCCCAACCTGGTGTCCAGTTGGACTGCCCTGCTTTCGAGATTTGTGACAATGGGGCAAGTCCCTTCACCAGTCTGGGACTCACTTGCAAAGTGGACATCCTGACTGTGGCTTCCTTCACAGGGGGAACTGTGACTTGTCAGTCAGTAATTGCACATTGAGTATTTCCTACTGTGCCTGGCACACAGGAAGTGTGGAACCCATGGTAGCCGCCATTATCAGTGACAATTTTGTGGTTGTTTATTTGAAGATGGCTCTGCACCTCCATGCTCCGTGTCCCCAGCCTACAATCCAAGGGTGTAAGCAATGCCACCATGCAGACAGGCTTTCCCTCCCTAGCCTGACACAGCCCTTCAGAGGGTGGCCCCTTATGAGCTGGTGTTCTGTCTTGGGTTTTGCAGCTGCCTGCCCCGTCCTGTGCAGTGGAAACGGACAGTACTCCAAAGGAGCGTGCCAGTGCTACAGTGGCTGGAAAGGCGCCGAGTGTGACGTCCCCATGAATCAGTGCATCGACCCTTCCTGCAGTGGCCACGGCTCCTGCATTGACGGGAACTGTGTGTGCTCTGCGGGCTACAAAGGGGAGCACTGTGAGGAAGGTAAGCATGGTGGGCCACGGGGCAGCAATCGGGGCCACACAGGGCCTGGCCTTGCCAAAGGATCCCCACTCCCACCCCACCCAGGGCTCCTGGGGCTACCTCAGAAGCCTCAGTGTTTCGCACAGAAAACTTCAACCCCACTTGGCTTTCATAGACTTCTGTGGTTGTTGAACAGAACAGGCCTATGGAGAAGGTCCTGGAAGGACTATTTTGCTTTGCCCTTCTTTATAATCTGTAGCCTCTTTCCCTTGACTTTTGTTTTGGTCTTTAAATTGCTTGCTCTGCCTTTGTCTGTCTTTCTGTCTTCTCTTTTCCTATACTCCTCCCCGCTTCTTCTCTCTTTCCCTCTATTTTATTTAAAGTCAGATGAATTAAAAATTGCAAGAGATACCCAGAGAAAAGAAACAAAACTTCCTAAGCCCCATCTTCCTTAAAGTTGGGGGCTGGATAGTTTGTTGGTTGGCTACTTGACTATTATTATTGTTTGTTTGTTTTTACTCTTCTTGGTAATCTAAGGTGTGTACACATCTGTGTAAATATTTCAGCAAAAATTAATATCAGTAGAGAGCAGCCCGGCTTGAAAGATGATAGGTATCCAAGTCAACTAGAGACACCCTGCAGGGCATTCACTCTGGTTAGTGACTGTCACACAGACTTAGAGTGGAGTGCACGATGGCCCACATTCGAGAGACTAGCACACATCAGAAAAATCAGAGGTACCAAAAACTGAAACTAATCTGACAAATTATAGTTCAAAATCCAGCTCAGAGAGCACAAGGGAACACTGGGGAGGCCATGCAGGGACGGGAGGTGTTCAGAAGAGGGCTAGGTCCTCTGGTTGCTTCTTTCAGGAGAGTGATCTGGTACCAAGGTGTTGGGAGCAAGTTCTGGTGCCAGTAAGTAAAGGGGAATCAGCCTGCCTGCACCCTTCCTCTCTGTGTTGCCTGTCTAGAATATGGTATCTAGTAGTCACTCTATAGCTTCTCAACACATAAAGAACCCCCATAGTTGATAGGAAGGTAAGGACTTAGCTTCTCTCAGCCCCCCCCCACCCACTCCCAATCTTTGAATTGGGTAAGTCTTTGTCTTGCAGCTAAGTCTCTCTACTGTAAGTAAACATTCCCATAAACTCAAAGCCCTTTCCCCTTCTCGGCTCCCAGTGCAAATACAAGTGTCAACTCACACAACAGTCTATGGGGAAAAGTGCAGCCCACTGCCTACTCTGTGAGACAGCTGGGACTACCAGGATCTCCCATGGAAAAGGTCCAGTTGATGTCATGGGCCCTTTCCTCTCTTCGCTTCTCTTAGGGATCTCAGGATCTATAAGGTTCTCGGGCTGGATCCATGCTTCCATTCCATTAACTTAAGGATCACCAGAGATCTGTATGAAATAACCAATCATTCCAGCCCTCACCACAAAGCACAGAGTGCCTTCTCCTTACGTATCCCACCCCGTAGGTGTCTCTTGTGGAATCTACCATTCATAGTTTTCATGAAACTACATCCGACATCATTCTTCTAAGACTTTTCTATATATGTATCAGGTGTGCCCTTCACAGGGCCCAAGAATCTGACTCCCAGACCTTCCCTTGCTCCCCATAGATTTCTTCCTCCATTATAAAAGATAGCCTCCCTCTGTTCAGATCATAAGACCAAATTGGGAGTTGGGGTGGAGGAAATACTGATTCAATAACCCTGCTCAAAAGGTCAAAGTTCTTAAAGATAAATAGATTGCAGGAGGCAAAGCTGCATTGGCTGAGAACATGGGAGAGGCCAATAATATGACAGGAAAGGTTAACAGGACCTTCTGTGGTCATGATGTCATGGGCCAAAGGAAAGTGCTGGAGCGTAACACTGCCGGTCATGGGATTTTCTTCTCTCCAGGAAAGAGTGCATATGGATGGAACTTCAATCTCCAGCTTTCTTACTATCTCAACCAGTCCTTCTGCAACGTTGAGAGTAAATTTTACCCATCCAACAAAACAGGGAGCCACGTGGCTTGTCGGGAAGGGATGGAATCTCTCCTGTTGACTTCTGCCCCACAACACTGAAGCAAGGTGATTCATACGCTGTTTTCAACACAGGGATCAGAATCATAGCATCTACATCAGCACTTTTTCTTCCATTTTTTGCATTTTTGATATGCATCAGAGTCATAACGCTCAAACAATTTACCTGCAACAGTGATGGTGACAGAATCAATAGTCCACGTCCTCCCGTTGTGCTGCATAAACGTTGTGCTATTTAACAGTTTGTGGGAGAAACTGAAAGGACGTCTTCGTGCGGCCTCGCCGGCTGGTGGCCGGAGGAGTGGGGAGGTGACAAGACAGGAGCTGACATGGTAGTGTAAATCAGCCACGTTTCCCTGTCAGCTTCAGGGTTGACTCATTTTTCAATGGCATTTAACTTCATAAACGTAATTTGCGGTTTTTCGGGGTTCATAGTACATAGTGTTTGTAAAATTCCTTGACCGCCTCTTCTTATCCCTTGGGGACAGAAATTGTATTCACAACCCTTTTTGTCAAATCTACAGAGAACCCACTACTAAATGAGTTCTAGTGCTTTCAGCTGCCGGGGGCTGATGTTCTGAGGCCCAGGGGACTAAGACAGTAAAGACCACTGTCCCCCATTTAAGGATAGCACTGTTTCTATTTAGGAAGCTTCTTGACACTCCAGAGTTCCTGCTGCCTGGTAAAGACGCTAAGAATGTGGTCACAAGGTCATCTGATGAAATCGGAACCGAATTTAAAATTCATAGTGAAGCCGCTCCTCCTAACCACTGAATTTGGCAATTCCATCTGTTGGTTGTAATCACACAGCTCTGAGGGCACATTTACCAGTTCCACTGACCAGAATAAGGGCTCGCTTTTATTTCTAGAGGCCATAAATGGTCATTTTGATGACATTTTGGTAACAGGCTAATAACCTCAGAGGATCTTCCTCCTTTTTCAGGCCATAATTCAGGATAGAGAAGAGAACTGATTTATCTAGAAAAAAAATAGCCCTCTCGCTTTCTTTTTTCTATATTACTTTTTATTATTTTATCTTTTTAAGAAAAAGATTATATTTTTGGAATGCTCTGAGCTTGGCATCTCACCAGACATTTTAGCTGGCTAATAATAGGTTGAAAGCAATTTTTCAGGCAATAGCATACAAGTTATTTTTTTGTGGCTTTTTTTATTTTGTTTTACTAGAAATGGGGACAAAATAAAGACATCTAGAACTTCAGGATTTCCTTTAGCAGAAGAATATGAACATGATTGGTTCTGAATAAATTAAGTCATATTTTGCAGATCCCCAAAATATGAATTATTTCCAAACGCAAGAACTAGTTAGCACCATTTCTCTCTCTAATCAGTCCTACACACTGAAAATCTGTCCTGCTAATGACAACTGCTTCATACTAAGCATGTGCTGATCCCCTCGACTGTGCCCAACAAGAGACAGTGAGCACCCTGCACAGCGTCTTTGTAAATGGCTTCCAAGTTTTAAGCTTTTCCGTTCAAATTGATGTCCAGATGTGTCTGACCACCCTAAATGGAGCCAATTCCAAGGACTCAAAGGGTTTATATTGTCCCCCAGACGATGAATTCCACCCTAAAGGGATTGCAACAAGAGTGAGGAATATCATCATAAACCTCTCTAAGAGTAAAACTTCACCTTTTGGTGGGGGGGACTCACTATTTTTCCCCATGACTCAAATAACTTGGAACTGGCTTCCATAATATCTTCTTGAGACTCATTGAGAATGGCCAAATGGGATCCTGAGAGCATCTCTTAATACTGATACTGAAAATTATTATATTTTGCCTCTGGGGAGGGGTGCTCTTTGGAAGTGTCTTGGAATATTGTGGTTTCTAATATATCCAGATTCCTCAAGTCTGATATCTCTCGGGACTAGATAATCTGCAGCACAGATAATTTAAATAATATCGTATTTAGAGCCACTATATCATCAATATTAAAACACATCATTATTTGGTTCTTAAATAAGAAAGAAAAAAAGGTGCCTAACATGGGCAATGCATTAGGAAACCCTACAATAAACTGGGACCCCAAGGAGTTACCATACACCATGTCAAATTACTTAGGGATCAAAAGTCTTGGGAATTCTGATCTTGGCCTTGGGCGAGAGAGAAAAACTTTTGTCACAGGGGTCCAAGAAAAGAATTGAAAGCAGTTTCTAGTTCACTGCCCCCAGGAGATGACAGACACACCCACTACTAGGCCAACAGACTTGATTTCAAAAGTGTTAATATGACACAAGTGTGTATCTTAGTCAAACAAGGTGACTAACTCTCCCATGTTTCTCTGACCCACACGGCTACACCTGAGCCTGCAAAATCCTCATTCCTCATTCAGAGCCCACGGTGTGCAGCCATCTTTTCCACCCACCATTGTATCTTTCACAAGGGTCTCAAAGGAGGCTGGTTTGCCTCCATTTACTCAACCTGCAGGCTAGATGGAGCTCCAAGGTTGAGGTCACATTCTCATGCAAAAATGTCCTGTTCCCAAGAACTAACCTTGGCCACTTGCTCCTCTCTTGCTTTGAGTTGGCTCTGAGGGACCCCTGGTTTATATGTGCTTTGATTATGAGGATGATCAAAACATCAGACCAAGAAATAGACAAGGATTAACAACCCAAATCTGACTGTGAACTTGTCCAGTGGACTGGCTGGTGGAGGGCTAGGGCCAAGATATCACCCATCCAGTCCACTCGTGACCACCTCGTGGGAGGTCACGAGTCCCACACCCTTTTTCCCTTCTTTCATCCTGCACATTCCACTACTTCTGTGGGTGCATGTTCAGAGAATGAAAACAAATTCCAGATTTAGCCTAAGTGAAAATTAATTAGAAGGTGGCTCATGAGTTCCATGGGTTTTCTTTTTATGGGTTTGTTCCCTTTGGAAGCCAAGGATTGGGAAAGTTAGAATGAGCCTCTCTACTTTCCCAGCTTAGAATGGGGGTGACAGGGTTTGACAATGTCACCTTGCTGACTGGGGTAAGGCACATGCAAAGGTTTGGGAGCCCAGGTTCTAATGACTGAGCAAGGCACCTATGCCTCTGAATAGGGTGTACATCTGACTTCCTAAATCTGCTTGGGAAATCCCCTTCATTCTCTTTCATCCTCTTCAACTCTTGGAATTTGGTGTTCTGACATCCCAAAAGTCTTTTGTTTTATGATTAAAGATGTCACAAAAGTCTTTCCTAGGCTGCTCTGTTTTCTTGCAGGTGCACAAGCATCGGTGAACCCCAGTCCTTTCAGCAGCAGACTCGAGGCACAAGGTCCTCCTCCCTGAGTGACCAGTACTTCCCTTTGCTCTATTTCAGTTGACTGCTTGGACCCCACCTGCTCCAGCCATGGCGTCTGTGTGAATGGGGAATGCCTCTGCAGCCCTGGCTGGGGTGGCCTCAACTGTGAGCTGGCAAGGGCCCAGTGTCCTGACCAGTGTGGTGGGCATGGCACGTACCTCCCCGACACGGGCCTCTGTAGCTGCGACCCCAACTGGATGGGCCCCGACTGCTCTGTTGGTAAGCCAAACGGTTTCACCTTGTCCTCCCAGCCCTGTGCCCTCGTTCCATCCATTCTTGGATGACGGGAGCCTCCTCTTCACACCTCGCTTGGGATCAGGGACTTTGGTCCACCGTGTAGTGCCTTTCTTGCCCTCTTCTCCTCAACTGTGGAGACTGTGGTCTTTGAGGACAACAACTGAAGGAAAAAACCACCATGTTGATTCTTGTGCCTTGTTGCTTCCATTAGCACAAATGGATGAGGGGCCCGGGAGGGATGCTTGTATTGCATTATAGGTTTCTTTATGTATCCTCCCTAAAGGTACCAGAGAACAAAACACAACAATTCAGTCCCAAACAAGCTGACTAGAACGCCCTCTGAAACAGAAGAGAGGCTCCCTGGAGAGCTGTGTGAATATGCTGGAGTGTGCTGTGGCACTCCAGTGACAGGGAAATAATGAAGTTGTGTGGCACACTTATTTTCCTAAAATTAAGAGTATGTGTCTTACTTCCCGAGTGACCTTCAAATGGAGCAGTTCAACGGTTCAAGTTGGGCCCAGACTTCCCAAGAAAGGTTGGCTTAGGAGAACCTATCCAAGTAAGCAGTCATCGTGTCACCCCCTTTCCTGGGTGGGGAGACAGCTTTCGGATTACCAGGGTAACCAGGAAGGGATCAATGTGGTGCTTTGCCCACCATGGGAAAGAAATGAATATTTCATTCCAACAGGAAAAAGAAAGACGTGGGTTAAAATGGGCTATTTTGGAATGTCTTCTCGGCCCCCTTGACTCTGGCTTCTTCTTTGATGCTGGTGGTCTTGGCAAAGCTCTGCAGAGTAGGAGGGGAAGTAGAGAGTCCTAGACCCAAGGCCCAAATTGTGCTGCAGACATGCTGTGTGACTTTGAGTGAGTCACTGACCACCCTGGTCTGGTTTCCCCTCCCCTGGCATGGTGAGCCATGCATCCCTCTGTGGGCTGTTGTAAGGATGAATGTCTGGCACGTGCTTGTCCTCGCGTGAGAGGTCTGGAATGCCAGAGAGTGCATATCTGTCTGTCTGTCTCCTCCCCAACCCAACCACAAAAGACTTTGAGCTCCTTTGAGAAAGAGGCTTTGTAAGCGCAGCATAACTGGGGTGGCCATTGTTGCCACCATGGCACCAATCTGGTGAACACAGGGGTCTGCAGTCAGCCAGATCCCCAGCAGGCCAGGTCAGCCCAGGCTCTCAACAGGGGAAGACTCTCGGCTGGTAGGGAGTCAGGACACACCAGAGCTCATTCAGGTGGGAACTTCACCAAGAGCTTTGTCTGGCCTGCTCTTGGAGGCCAGCAATTCCTCTGGAGTTGCTGCTGTGACACCCTCTGAGTACCCAAACCACCCAGAGGCCTTGTTAAAATGAATGTGAGAGCCCCTCTCCCAAAGCTTCTAGTTCACGCGGTCTAATCAGAGCCCAAGAATTTGCATGTCTAGCAAGTTCCCAGGTGATGGCAATAGCCAAGGTGACACTGCTGATCCAGAGGCCACCCTCTGAGAACCACTGCTCTGAAACAAACAACAACAACCACAAAAAACCATGACGACCAAACAAAGACTGCAAATCAATACCCAGCCACCAGAGACGAGTCTAAAAGGTGTCAAAGTGGCCGCCCAGGGGCCATGTGTGCGGTCTGGCTCCCGTGAAGGGTGCGGCCAGCCGCGGTGTCGAGCTGTAACCGTTGTTTTTCTTCCAGAAGTGTGTTCAGTAGACTGTGGTACTCACGGCGTCTGCATCGCGGGAGCCTGCCGCTGCGAAGAGGGCTGGACAGGCGCGGCTTGCGACCAGCGCGTGTGCCATCCCCGCTGCATTGAGCACGGGACCTGTAAAGATGGCAAATGTGAATGCCAAGAGGGCTGGAATGGTGAACACTGCACCATTGGTAGGCAAACGACAGGCACCGAAACAGGCACATATTGCTTTATTTTCATAAATCGTAGATCGATAGTGACGGTCGCGCATTGCAACTGGCTGTTCCTCCAGGGACACGCGTGCTCCCCCACATTCCCGCTGCCTCTCCAAATCTCCAGGGAGACAGGGAAAAGCAAAAACGAGGGCCCTCCTTTGGAAAAAGGAGTCCAGGTTGGGAGGAAAGGGATCCACCCTGATAAGAAAATCTATCCAAATCGCTGATCTTGGGGGGGAGAGGGTGAAATGAACACGCATGGGAAATTGTCAATGTCTGCAGATTCCAGCTCCCCAAATCGCTGAGCTCTGCAGGTCTGCTCCTGGCTGGCGCCCTGCACCCCTGCCTGCAGCCACCAATGCCGACTCAGTTATTTTAGACCAGGCTAGAAGCAGGCAAGACTTGCAGGTTCTCTGGGTGGCCAAGTACCCCCGTCATAGATCTGAGCATCCTCCTGCTGTCTTGAGGCTCTATGGCTATTTTCCCATCAGCACGGCCACCAGGACAGAGCTCCTCCTCTGGCTCCATGTCATTCTCCACTCAACCACCTCATTACGTAAGTTTCTTGACCAAGAATGTTTTTTAAGGTCATGTTTTCTTGTGAGAAGGAATAATGTTGAAGCCAGATGTGGTGGTGCACCTCTGTCATCCCAGCACTTGGGAGGCTGAAAAAGGAGGATCTCGAGTTCAAGGTCAGCCTGGACTATGTAATAAGTACCAGACTGGCTTTAGTTTCATAGTGACACTCTGTCTCTAAAATTAATGTTAATGATAATGATAATGATAACATAGGAGGAGGAGGAGTTTTGAAGCTGTTTTGGGTTTCTTTGGGATTTTTGCCATTATTGTAGCTTGGGAGAGGACCATACTGATTTGAAAGCACCTGATTGTCCCTTTGAGAAAGGTGTGGTATTTCGGCTTCTCAGCTTGCTATGTCTCTCAGATCATTGGGATTGCACAGTTGTCAACTTGAGCGCCATTTTACCTGTGGTTTTTGCTCCTGTTGGTTCATCGATAGTCCTAGGCTCCATGTTGTGCCAAGCTGGTTAATCCACCAGCCTGCGTGGAAACTCTCAGAAAGTCTCCAACCAAACTACTGTTTGCTCCTTAAAGTGACCTTTGATCCCACCTCTCAATTTGGGGTCCTAGCCCCCAAACCACAGCTTGGCCACCCAGAGGGAGAGACCAGATGAAAAGCTTGCTCAGAGCTGGCAGATGAGACCAGACTCAGTTTCCCGTGCTGTTCATTTGGCTGGGAAGCAGAGGTCAAGTGGACTGACTCTGCAGTTTCCCTGCTTCCATCCGATTGGCCCTCTGAGGGCAGCGTGTTAATCAGAACCGCAACCATAGCACTGGGACCCTGCTGGAACAGTCTGTTGACAGTGAATCGTTTCTGTAGTCTCTCGACGATGCTCCAGGTCCTGTCCCCTCCCCACCCCACCCCCGCAGCCACTGTCATCTCCAGCTTCCTGCAGAGGCTGAGGCATAATCCACACACTTCCAGGGAGGGTGTGCACAGCCCAAGACCAGTGCAGTCCTTTCCCTAGATCCAGGCCTTGGGGCTCCCTCTTGATCACCAGTGCATGTCCCATGTGACTTAAATAAAGACTTTCCCACCCCTCAGCTCCATTGCCCCCAGTGCCCCTCTCTCTCTAGAAGCAACTTGTAGGTAGATAGCACTACGTCCTCTCGTTTGTACCATCTGATCTCCCTTCCTGTGCTCCCCCTTCTCCATCTGGGAGGTAGGGACAGGGTATCCCCGCAGTGACTCTGCTGGGAACAAGCTTCTCTCCTACCTACAGTACTGCAGATGGATCAGGGCAGGTACTGACCAACTACGGCTAGGGGCCAGCCTTTCCTGGTTTTCATGGCTTACAAACTAAGAAATGTTTCTACATTTTTAAAGGGTTAGTAGCTATCCAACAAGAAAAAATTCCTGACGTGACACTTCTGTGAAATCCAAATTTCAGTGTCCATAAACAGTGTTAATGGATAATAGCCACACCCATTCAGCTTCCACACAGAGACAATGTGGCCCAAAAGTCAACGGTTACCTGGCCCTTCCCAGGAGTTTAAAAAAAAAAAAAAAAAGGCTGAACCCTGAGTGAGAGAATTGGCCAGGCCCAGATGGACAGAGAAGAAAAGGGAGGCAGGTTGATGTCCCCACTAGGAAGGGACACTGATTGTGCTTACAGGAGATTAGGGTGTCAGAGTCAGAGGGGAGAGAAGAGTGGAGATGTCTCTGGGGGCTTTGAAAATGACATGGGATGATAACAGCTTGGGTCTCAGTAGAAAATGGCAAGGTTGTGGCCATCAGGAGAACCAAGCACCTTGGTCAAGCTGGCCTTTGGGTGAGATGAGCTGAGAAAAGTCTTTCTGCTATTTGAAGTGTTGGCTCAGCTACCTCTGTGAGCTGTCACCCATGAGTCCTTGAGGGACATCGAAAAAGTGCACATTTATATGCTATGTGCAGCTCCCAAAATGAAGAGGGTGCTGGCGCAGGGAAGTCCCTTGTTCAGAATTGCACTGTCCTGGGACTTTAGGGTTGTGCTAAATTATGAAGATTGTGATGATGAAAGCCTCTTCTTATGAGGAATTAGGGCTCTGTGGTTTAATTACTAGGATATGTGCCATCTCCTCCTAGCTTTGTTCTGTGGGGTTTTCTCCAAAACAGCCAAATGTCCCTTGGTCAGTGAGATAGCTATTGGAAAACTAGGGAGTTATTCATACTGCACTTATGCTTTTCAACCTCTGGCCTCCAGAGCTGTTCTATGGCCTTTTAGTCTTTTGGTTTGAACAGACACTCCTGTCATTTCATTTAAAATGAATGCCATGATTTACAAGCCCAGAATAAGTCCCCCTCCTTGGAAAAATGACAGGCAGAGGAAAGAGAGGGTTTTGGTCCTATAGAAAATAAACAAGAGTGAAATGGCATCCAGCCAGTAAACAATGGCCTGGGACATTTGAGGTAAGACAGAATGCTATGTGGTTAGTGTTGGGCACCCCGGTTGTCTGTAGTCTGTTTTTAAAAGGAGGTCATTCTCACAGTCATTGCAGGTAGTCAACGGAGCAGTTCACCTCGCTCATGGACTGCACTTATTATACTGAGGAAGGAAGCAGTAGGTGGGGAAGAGAAGGATGAGGATAAAAGCTCAGACTTCTGAAACTCAGTCAAGCAGAAGCACCAGGATCTCTCCATGTTTGGTCAAAGGCATTTCTGGAATTTGCAACAAATCACTCATACTGGAGAACGCAGTCACATTGCCATAGATTTCAATGGAAGGTATATTGTGTCCCTGTTAACTGGTAGAACTAACTTACCAGCAGACTGGATTCTACCAAGCAGTGAGTTTTAGTTACCTCTTTCTAATAAGTTAAATATAAGATATGGCTAAAATCTACAGAATTACGTAGATGAGAATATACTTCAAATCCAAATCAACCACAACGCATGCAGTTCATGAATTTATCAGTGTTATTGGGTAAGGTACAGTTTACTCTCATGATAAGTCAGAAGACAAATTGTTTGATCTTTAAATATGATCTTAAAATGGTCTTTTGTTCCTACCACCTACCTGCGGCCTGCCACCACCCCTTCTTAATATGGAAGATTTAACACAGAAGGGCTGTCCAATGGTTATAGCAACTGTATCCTTCTGATTCAAACCACCATGAACTATAGGAAGCTCAGATGAGCATCTCTGATGCTATGCAGAGGTCAGGAACGTGTTAGCATGTTTTGCCAGCAGAATAGTTGGGCAGAATTCAAGGAGAAAGCCACATTCAGATTGCCAGGGAATACAGGAAGGGAAGTTAAACGGGAATGGTGCAGTGCTATGATGATTCCTGTGTAACACCAGCTGGCACACCACGGTCTAAATCTCCCAACATTGGCCCTTTCCAGACGTGGTGAACTCATCAGGACCTGGGCAGTGAGCAGCATCTGCTATGGTTATTCCAAGCTGTGTATTTATCTGTGTGGCCTTGGCCTCCAATCACGTTTCAAAACCATGACAACTTGATTCCAGGGCTGTGTGGGGCTAAGTGACCTGAGCAGGTGCCACAAGTCAGAAGAGTTTCTTTTCCCTCTGTTGCACTGGGCCCTTCTATTATTCCTGTTTAATTGGTTGGGGAAAGAAGTAGGTTCTAGTGATGTTAATAAGGAAAATGAATCTTTACCCAAGGTAAAACCAGCCATGCGACATCCTGATGTGCTGATTAAGTGATTGTCATCAGAAGTAGACAGGGTCACAGTCCAAAAGGGAGAAAGCCTCAGAATAATAGGGACAGGTTGAGAAGAAAGTGACTGTCAAAACTAACTGACATCAGACTGAGGAAAGCTGCCTTTGCATCTCATTCTAGTTTGGTTCCAAGTTACAGAAACTTTTATTTTTCTTGTAGCTATTGTCCTCAAACATTTGCACATGCACGATCGAAATGAGCTCACGTCGAGATGGAGTCAGCCACTGTGGAGTCATCCTTACTACCAACTCTGCAGAAGCAGCTCATTCTCTGATTGGTTAATTAGCCTTTTCCTCCAGTGGCTCTTACTGGAGCTATCCTCAGAGCTCTTTTTTTGGTTTTGACTTTTGGGCTTTTAAGTAAAACCCTTAGCTTTCTTACCTTTTACTTTACAGACAGACTTTTAGCTGAGTGATCTTTCCCCCATAATTTGGCCCAAATGTGAGCCTTCTGGTTGAGAGCAGGAATCCCAGGTGCCCGGAAATTCTCTTTGCGTCTGGGTCAGACAATCTATTCGAGGTTCATTGCCCAAACCCAGAACAAGGACAGGGAGGGAGAAGTGACAGTGCCACCATTTCAAGCATCCTGACAATATAAATTAAAATAACAGAAATGAGAACTGTCCAGCTAACGTGAGCCTCATCACTGGAGAATTTGCTTTCTTGTCGTGGTTGCTGAAGAAGAGCTTTCATCAGTCAGAAAATAGACAAGATACACACAAACCGTCCAAACTTTATGACTTGATAGTGCTGTAGTTTAAATAGAAGCATTTGTGGAATTGATTCCTCTGTGATTTAGAAATATCTGTTCATGAAATACACTCCCATCAAAAAATAAAAGAAGGGAAGAACTTTTTGGAGGGGCAGGATATGCGTCCTCTTCTGTGATATCTTCTGATAGTGTCAGAGGACCTGGTCCAGTGTATTAACTCGTAGCCCACAGTGGCAGGGCCAGATCAATCGAGTGCAGTTATGCATTGCTTAAT